ACACTACCTTCCTCTACATACACACACACTCACACACACACACACACACACACACTACCTTCCTCTACATACACACACACTACACATATGCACACGGCTTGTTTAAATCTCTTTCTCCTCTTTTCACAGGCTACTGGACAGTCACATGAAATTTCCCATGCTACCACCCATGATATTTCACGGCCATGTTGTCAGTGAGGTCACAAGACACCTCCTAGCCCTGCAGTCTTTTCTAACCAGCTCAAACCCGCCATGTCTATTAAACCTTCTTTGGTCTCTTCCCACCTGTGAGCCGGCCACCTCCTTTCTCTTGCATGGATGGTACCTATTTTATGGATGAAATAGACAATATTGATTTCTCAAGACCAATCAACCCATTAGCCTGGCCACAACTGTACCATCCTTCTCAGTCGCTTTTTGTCTCTTCGGACAGGTGCACTTCCTGTATCCGTAAACCAGGCCTCCTCCGGATACACTATTCATGCTTGCCTTCATTCATAAATCAACACCTATCACATTCCCACAGTATGCATTCATCTCCTCTGCCTGCTAGTGCAGGGCCTCTCAAACTTTAATGAGCACACAGATCTCCCAGGGAGCGTGTTAAAACATGGAATCTGATTCCTTTGGTCTGAGTTTCTAATAAGCTCCCACGTGACGCAGTGCTGCCGGTGGAGGATCCTAATCTGAGGAACAGGTTTCCGAGGAGTGGTTCCCAAACCCACCTGACAGTGGCCTTACCTGCAGATCCTCAAAGCCCCTACTACCTGAGCTCATCCTTCTGAGGACTGGTTTCGCTTGGCTTTCAAATAGGTATAGTGTCCCTTATGGCAGATGGAGCTACATGCCCATTACCAGAACTGCCATTCTCCCCAACCTCGATTCTTCTCTCTTGTATCTTTCAATTCCATGTTTACACATACTCCTTGACTTAAAAGGGGAAGGGGTAAAAGAAAATAAACTATAAAACCTTCCCTTAAGGGAGCATTGCTTACCACCTTGTATGCCTGTGTCCTGCCTGCCAGGATCTAGCATCCAAAGTAGAGGTCTACCTTTGCTGCCTCCCCCAGGCCCGCAGCTGTTTCCATAAGGCTTAGTCCAGACTCCTTCATTCTTTGTTCTCCCCTTATGCTGCTCTTCAGCATTGTCTTCTCCAACCTGCTTCCTTCTGCCATGCCTCTCTGTCCCCTAGGCTTCCAGTCTTTTATGTTGTTCCTAAGTCCTACCTTTTCCATCCTAATTCCCTGTTGCTCATCTTCTTCCTACTCCTGACAGGCTAGTCTCTCTCTGAGGCTCTGTCATAAGTCTTCTTTGTACTAGGCCTCCTCCCTGGCGATGTTACCACATCTATTTAAAACTCTGTTTCTAGCAGGAACCTTTCCCCTGGACTGCAGTTTCTTACACCCAAGTATCAGATGGCCACTTCTACCTGGATATCCCCCAGACATCTCCAGTGTAACAAGTCTTAGGCTAAACCCATTAAGTTTGTTCCTGAATCTATCTCTCAACCCGTATTCCCCCATGCAACCCCATGAACAGTCTTTCTTACATCATATTAGTCAAGCCACAAGTCTGAGTACCACCCCAGTTCACCTTGCTTGCTTTGAGTGATAATCATGTCCTGCTGTTGCTGCCTCACTCAAACACTGAGAACCCAGGCTCTTTCTCTAAACAGAATATCAAGCATGCTGAAAGCATGGCCTCTTTGTCCCAGAGGAGCTGAGAGGCATGGTAAGCAAGCATGCTTTGTGCTCTGTAAGAAGATAGAAGGCTGGGTGTGGAGCTCAGTGGTAGACTAGTTGGCTAATGATCAGGAGACCCTGAATTTGAGTGCCTGCACAAGAAGGGGAATGCAGAGGACAAAGAGGGAGAAAGAGGAGGAGAAAGGATAGGGAGAGGAGGAGGAAAAAGAGGAAGAAGAGGAGGAGGAAGAGGAGAAAGAGGAGGAGGAAAAGAAGTTCGGGTGAAGTCATGGAGAGAGAGGGAGAAAGTGAGGCTAGACAGGAAACAAGGCTACTTTTATTGGCTGCCTAGAGAAGACAAGGTTTGACTAGTACTTAGGTAGAGTGAAGATGAAAAGAAGTAGAGAATTGGCCAAGCCCACTCCTACTCAGTTCACTAAAAGGAAACTAATGGCACCTGGGATTGTACAATCACCTCCTTCCTGCCACTGTCCCACTTGCACTCCAACTGGCCCATTCTGGGAGCAATAGTAAGATTTCCTCAAAGCATCCCCGTGCTATACCCTACAGAAGGCCCACTAAGTCCATCCCAGTACCCGTGAGATAGAGTCAGCATCCTCCAGCACTGCCTCATGTGGCTTCTTTTGGATTCCCTTCCCCTATTCACACAAACTTCTGTTTTAAGGCCATGTAGCCAGTGTTACCCTTGCAGGAAAACTTTCTGACTTGTTCACAGTACTCACCTCTGCTTTCCAATCTCCCTCACCTATAGCAGGACCCCTGTCTTACCCACCCTTTGGCTTCTCTAGATGGCCACTCTTCCTTTCACATACCAGCATCAATAGCCATGGCTCTCTTGAGTACCATGGACCCATCAAGCAAGAGTGCACCTCCAAGCTGTCATGGTGACCTGTCTTCAGGGCCACATGGGATATGGTACTTGAATCACTATCTTGTACTACTGTTCAGAAGCTTTAGTACCCCACATTGAATATGATGCCTGTCACATAGAAATGTTCAGTGGGTATCTCATGAACAGATATGTGATGATACACCAGCAGGATGCTCTGAGGCTGAGGCAGTGTGGTACTCTAACAACATACCTGTCATTCTCGCAGATTGACCTTTAATAAAAATGAAAACCATCTTCAATTCCATTTTCAAATAAAAGTACAAGCCCTCAATGTTGTGACTATACCATCAAGAGATAAAGCTAAGGTGTTTTCTGCATGGAACTAGAGAAATCTCGGCTTGGTTCATTTACTCAGCATCCCCTAGAGATGTGTGGGTATGAAGCATGTCACGAGTGGTGAGGAGTCACTGTTGTAGATTCCTGCCTCTGACAGCTGTGTTCTGTCTCTGTGTCCCACCCTCCAACCTCATCGTCCCAGCATTGAGAACAGATTGAACCTGAGGAAGAATTTGCACTGCCAGACCTTCAAGTGGTACCTGGAGAATGTCTACCCAGAACTCAGGTACACCTACCTACTGGAACCAAAGCTAGCTACAAGAAGAGGCCTGGTCATAGCTGGCCTGGTGTGGGAGATACATGACCTATGGCCAACTGGAGGAGAGTTTTTAAAACTGTAAAGGACTGAGAAAACCAGCCAGTCCTGGTTAACCCTAAAACCATAAGGAGAATTTTGTTAATCTTAGTAGAATGAGAGACTGGGGTGAATTGTTAGAAGTAGTACCCTGGGTTGTACTAAGATCATAGGATTGATGATATAGACTCCATCCTAGAGATCCATCTTCTATGGGGCTACTGAGAGTCCCATGTTACATCACCCTAGCGGCATCTTTCCATCCTCTGACTAGTGCCAACCTTTGTGACAGCTCTGGGGAAGATGGCTGTCTGCCCTCTCTAAACACACCCTAACCCATCCAGCAGTTAGCAGCACTAATGTCAAAAGCAGTATGTTCTCATCTGTCCACATGGGTTTTCCACAGGGTACCCCAAGATTCCTCCATCCAGAAGGGCAATATCCGGCAGCGGCAGAAGTGCCTTGAGTCTCAGAAGCAGAAAAACCAAGAGACTCCACACCTCAGGCTAAACTCCTGTGCCAAGGTCAAAGGGGATGGAGCAAAGCCTCAGGTAAAGTAACTGCCTGGGGTCATAGCACTGCATGCCATGGAGAGCAGAAATGTCTAGATTAGCCACGGACCCTGCTTCAGCATGTCACCAGGAATCCAGAATGGTGCCAAAGGACCCATTCTTACCTGGCTTTTTCCCACTTAGTTACCAAATACCTGGAAATCCTCTGAAAGATGGTTTCCAAGTGGCACATGTCCATAGAAATTGGTTCAGTAATTTAACAGGAGTTCAAAGACTGGCAGCTGTCTCCTACAGTAAACATGGGCCAGGTCAGGCATGGAAGATCACACAAACTAACTACAAATGTGACATGCAAAGAAAAAAAGCCTGCTACTAGACATTGAGACAAGATAACCAAACCAAGTCTTGCAGCTGACTTCCAGGCAATTGTATCAGGCTTGGTAAAACCACTTCTATCCACTATTTTTTTCCTGGGCACCACCCTCCTGCTTCCCCTACATCTGTGGATTATTTGGGGGTGCTTTACAAGGAAGCTTCTTTGTGGCTTGCTTGGTTTGTCAACAGAGCGTATCCTATTCAAGCCCCGTGTTTTGCCAATATTCTCCTTTCTGAGTCTAGGCCTGCTGTTTTCAAGGTCACTGACAAAATCACCACCTGTCTCAACCTCTATAGCATTTGGCCAAGCACAACCATCACGTGACTCCCCTCTTATCCTTGTGATCCCACAGGATCTCTGCTTCCTTATCCTGCTGTCTGAGTTTTTGCCTAGTGCCTGTCCCCATCTTTATGGTGTTTACTGAGGCCTTCAATCTACCGTCCTTTTCACTATAAACTCTTTTTTGGAGATTTTACTCATATCCCCAGCTTTGTCCATCTCCTGTTTATTGATTCACAAATTCTGAGTCTTCATGCATCATTTATTCACTCGGCAGACTGTTTGTTAACTGCGAAGGTACACAGGTGTAAGGCTAGACTGCAGGAAGAAATACACAAGCAGCCTCCATGATCTAGTCTCAGCCCCTGAGCATCTCTCGCTGCTACCACAAAAATATAAAGATGTGGCATACAAGTCTTATGTGAGCATTGGCAAGTTGTCCCAGAGGACTTGAAAATGGTCTGTGTTTTAAGACAAAAGTAGAAACAGACAAGGTCAGGAAAGGGAGAGAGGGGTGACCCAGGAAATACAACATACATTGAGACTTGGCAGTGAGTGTAAGGATAGGCTTTAGAGAAACTGAGGTTAAAAGGTAGAACAAGAGAGGACCATAAATGTCGAGGTTGGGTAGAAGCAACAGCTGAATTCTTATCTCTGTCATTCTGAGGAAGCTGAGTTTTGTCCTCATTAGAGAAACAACTGTAAGATCCCAGGAGAGAGTTCTAGGAACAGAAGGTCCACAGGTAAGAAGTCCCCCAGGACTGTTGCTCCAACGCTGCACAACTTAGTGACTCAAACTCTCTGTGGTTTAACTCCACAAATGGCTGTGAGCACCCAGGCTACCTTGTGTTGCATACATTCTCTGCACGGTCATCCTTTGCTCAGGTGCCACAGTTCCAATTCTCACTGATGTCTTGGCTCGTCTTCCTCCTGTAGCCCCTCATGCCTGCAGCCCACAGGGATCAGCCTAGAAAATCTCTTGTTGTACCTTACACTTACTTATTCTTGCTAGCTCTACATTCTCCAAACCCAAATCTGTTGACTTTTAGAGTTGGTTCATTCTTTTAAAATGTCCCTGGTGAGAACACTTGTGTTAGATTAGAACCAAAGTCCGTGGGTGTTCCTCCTGCCCTGTCTCCATCCAATGACCTGTATCATCGCTTTGTGTGTGATCTCCAAACCACCACCCAGCCTCAGCACTGTAGCCGTCAGTGACTCTCCATTGTTCCCCATAAATATCCATGCTCTCAGACCTGGCTCTGGCTTGAAAAGAGTTTTCCAGAAGCAGTCCCTGCTCCAAACAGGACAGAGGAGGTGGGTAGGAGTTAGATTAGACTAGAAAGGAAAGGAAATGGAGGTGTCAATTTTACTTTAGGTGTGGTTGCCCAGCTGATGTGACACAATTGCTCAAGTGGTACTTTGTGTAGCACTGTGAGTAGGTGACACATCTTTCTGTGAGTCTGTGTGTAGGTGTTGTTCACGGGAATTCCAACAGTCAGAATGTTGGCTGGGCCCTTCCCTGGGATAGGATTCATTTGGTCTATTCCCAGAAGAACAGAGCTTTTCTAGAACTTGCCAACATTGGTTACATAAGAAGGTGGGAGGAAAAGCCACTAACTGTCTGAGCCTCAGAGAGGGTCCTTTGATATCCGGTCCTAGGGGAGGGAGCAGGATGTTTACTGGAGGAGAATGGTCCATCCTATTTCAACTGACCTTCCTGCACTAGGAGGAAGGCAAACAATGGCAGGTACTTGGGGCTGTGAGGGAAAGGCCTATAGGTACACAGGGCTCTCTCCTTGGGGCAGTGGTAGCTACAGCTTGGCTTTGCTTTGAGATAATAGCTGGTTTTTGTGACTCTCAGATGCTAGATCATCTAGATATAAAGAGGTTAACCTTGGAAAACTGAACAGTAGCATCTTGGACGCCATGTTACCTGCTGGGGAGATGAGGTGGGCTCATTCAGAGTTAGATACAGCCCCATTCTCCAAGGGTACACAGGCTAGCAACAGGACTAGGCTAAATTTTCAGGTACTCAGAAGGAAATCCACATTTCAGCTAACATAGCTGAAATGAACACAAGTGCATGTGCATGTAACATGTCCTTGTAGGACTGACTCGTGATCGCTTCTCTTCTTCCTGGGGTCCTCTTCCTCATTCCTCACAAATCTCCATTGTTATTGTCCTTCATCTCAACTGTCCTTTCTGTCCACATTAGACACTCGTGGGTCCTTTCCCCTTAACGCAGTCCTATCCCTTCCTATCTATGTCTTTGCTACCTGACCCGACTCTTGTTCTGTCCTGAAGGTGTATATCTGCCCTTGTGCCCATGCAGCTTTTATTCCTGCACCTACCCCTTCAGTCACTGAAAGCATAGCAAGGAAGTGATACAGGAGCCAGATAAAATAGGCGTTGTCCCCTCGCCTACCTACTCCACAGCTGATGCCATCAAAGCTCCCACAGATTAACTAGTGTCATGTGCTAGTGGTGCCTCCCATACCAACTCTATCCAGCAGTTGTCTGGTGCTTGTCCCAGCCACGCCATTGTTCCAGAGCTTTATTAGCTGTTTAGTCCTAGGAGAAGACACCTGTCTGTAACATCACCTCTTAAAGGTTATTCATATTAAAACTGTTAACCAGCTCCATCTTAACAGAAGAAAGATGGTGGCATGGGGTGGGGATAGGGTCTTCATTATAGCCACTTTCCAGTGACAAATCCAAAAACAAAATTCATGCCTCTATAAGAGTGTCTGGAGTCAGTAGACAACAGTGTCCTCACTAACATTTATGGGAGTTTGGGCAAAAGTGTGAATGGGGGGGTCTCTGCTCTACAAATGTCACACAAGACTCCAGGGACACATGGCTATAATGGCTCCCCACTTGGGCCTGGCTTCAATTTCTTCCCATTTCTGGCTCTGACCTACATGGTGAGTGTAAGCTTTCATGTTCATTTCCCTCTGAAAGCCTTCATATGTATACCAGAGACACAGCCTACCCTCAGAGGACAAACCCAGGCATCACTTCAATACAGGTCCTGAGATCAGGTTGTAGCCATTGGATGGGTGTTCTAGGGCCCTAGGTCACAGAAAGTGGTACAAGGAGGACCAGGTTCTGTCTTTAGCTGACATTCACTCACCAGGTAGATAAAACCTGGGCAATGGGATGGCCTCCTGCCTGTAACAATACTCCTTTGGTTTTGTTTGGTTTGTTTTTGTTGACAGGGATGGAGAACAAACCCCAGAGCCTTATGGATGCTAAGTAAGCACTTTCCAACCATGCTACATGATCAGCATGGAGGCTATTTAATCTGTAGTTCTAATAAATCCTCTTCCTCTATACCAGTCCATCCACCTCCAATACTATGCCTTGTTTTCCTTCTTGCTGCCTTGTCATCCTTTGGAGCAAAATGCTGGATTCAAGTGTTTCAAAGATGCTGGCAAACTGATGCCATGGGGTAATGCAAGAGGCATAAATCATGCATTCGAAAACCTTTGAAGTCCAAGAAATCTCTAGGCTAATACATTTCCTCTTAACTTCACTGAATTCCCTGGAAAAAAAAAATATCCGTGAAAGGTAGAAAGAAGACAGATATTCTACTCTAGTTTCTATTCCAAGTTAAAACGAGGGAAACATAAGACAGTTTGAAGTACATTCTTCCTCTGCCCAGCCAGTGTTAAGGCTGCCGATTTCTGGAGCAGGAGGCAGCAGCTGGGAGCCCCAAGGGTGGATGTGATTGAAAATGCTCCACAGATCAGCAGGCACAGGGACACCTCCAGGGTAGAGAGCTCAAGTCTGCAGTGGAACAAGCTGCCAGGCAATCACCTCCTACCCCTTCTTCTTCAGAGTTCCTCATCACAGCCTAGGAATACCCTCTCAAGAGCATCATGCCAACCTGTCTCTGGGACAGTTTCCAAAGGAAAGTCTAAAGGGACATTTCTCTTTTATCCTCTTGCCTTTCTCTGAGTCACTGGTATCATCAGAGACAGTAACCAAGCCTTTGATAAATGGATGGCACTATTCTGAATATTCATGGATTAACCATATATTCTATCACCCTCTTACTAGAGCAGATTCTCAATCTGTGGATCACAACACCTTCGGGCATCAAAGGGCCCTTTCATAGAGGTCGTCTAAAACCATTCTGCAAATCAGATGTTTATATTATGATTCATAACAGTAGAAAATTACAGTTAAGAAGTAGCAACAAAAATAATTTTATGGTTGGGGGTCATAAAGGGTTGCAGCAATAGGACAGTTGAGAACCACTGTACTAGAGTGGTTCTCCTCATGTCATATCTGAGGTTACAGAAGTAATTCACTAAGAGTTTACACAGTTATTAAGCTAGTGGGCAGGGATTCCAGCTCTTGTAGTTATCCAAGAACCTAACCTTGTGACACAACAAAACAAAGTGGATATGGCACATCAATCCTACATGTAAGGCATTCTAGAAATGTAAGAGAAGACAGGGTGGAAATAAAAGGGCTGACCTCAAACATGAGTCTATGAAGTGTTCCAAAATAAAATGTAAATCTGGGAATATGCTAGACCACCCCTGCTATCTCTGGGCTGGGAATCCTCTCCAGGGTAGAGCTGAGGTCTGTGCCTGTAGGGAGACAGAAAGCCCAGCATGGTCTGCCAGCATTTTGAGCTTTTGTAACACCCAATGCTGACCCCTGTGGCTGATCCCTTAGAGATCTTTGTAACTCAAATGAAGGTTTTGTTGGACCTGGCTCATTTGTCTCAGGCATTTGCATATTCATAGGCTAATGGGTTCTCCTGTGGGGCTACAAGGTTAGAGGACACCTGGTGTCACTAATGTCCTCTGCTTGGGTTCTATCTTATGGGAAGGGAGCTCATAAACAGAATGAGCCCAGCAGCTGCTCCTGACATTGTTCCCAGTAACCATGGACTCTTTGATCCTCAATTCCATCAAACTACATGTAAAGATGGAGTGGCTTGAACCAGTCAGGCTCTGGCAAGGCTCTAATTTCGATGAAACCAGCAATACCACTTTACTGTAATCTCAGTTGTTGACTATCCAGATCACAGAAGACATTTAGAAACACAGAATTCACCATTACCAGTGAGTGACATTAGCTCCTGCTTACTAACAAGGCAGTCACCTTGCTTTCCTTCCAGGGTTTGCTTGTCCCACCCTCACCCAGCGTCTCTTCGCATGAGGAAACACCACTCTTGGAGCAAGTACACTGAGCCAGGGCCAGTCAGCTCTGGGCTGAGTACTTGTTAACTCTTTACAAGAGTCCTTCAGTGGGCATGTCCTGCTACCAGCCCCACTTGACAGACTGGATATGCTAGGCACATGGAGACTAACCAGTATGTACGTAAGTGATACCCAAGAGTTTAAGTATAGGCCTGCAGACTATCTCATGATAGCCTCAGCATGACTTTCCTTAGGACTGGATCATTCTTTGTCATGGGGACTGTCCTGTGCCTTGTAGGATGTTTAGCAGGACCCCTGCCCCACTTCACCAAATGTCCATAGAACCTCATCTCAATAATCCAAAAATGTCTCCAAATACTGCTAGATAGTTCTCCAGTGGGGTATGGAGCAAAGTCTCCTTGGTCTAGGCTGATGACTTCCTGTCTATCAGAGGCTGGGGCCCTGAACCTTTTCCAGATCAGTATCTCTGCCTGGCTTCATCTTCATCCCTGCCTCTCTGAGTTCTTATTGCATCATAAGAAAATTTTTCCTCCAGAATTTTTCATCCAACTCAAAACAGTAAGTCACAGGCCAGACCGGACCAGGTATCACTGTGGTTCCTTTGCATCCCAGCCTTCCCAGCTGCAGCCCCAGGACATTTACCTGAAAGTGGAGGTTACTGTTCCTGCTGTTACTCACTCTTTTTCAGCTTGGGCAGGGAATATGTCCTCTGAGTATAGCAGCCTGTTTCCCCTTTCTAACAAACCAGCAAAGGAGTTCCAAGGACCATGGATGAGCTTCTCTCCTCAGCCCATTTCCACAGGGAAAAGTTACTCACATCAGCCTCCAGAATGGTCCCTGGGTTATCTTCCAGGTAGGTTATCTTCCCTATGGGTGGAAAGGGACATCCATCATGGACAGCACTTTTTAGAGTACTGCCTGTGCCCTGGACTACTTGCTGCTCAACTCTACCTGCCCTTGAGGTGAGGTGACAAGGTATCAATGGCACAGACTCTGGGAGCAGGTTAGAAATACCACAGCAAGTTCATCTGAACAAGCTCCTTTAATACCTTCCACCAGTGCCCCATTGGTCCCAAGAAAACATCTCTTCTACACAGCAGTTCCCAATTGGCTGGCATTGTCTGGATCAGCAATCCTTGGTCTCTCAGGCAGTCTTCAATTAGGTCCTCCTACAGGAAATGCCTTTGCGGCTGTGTCTTCCCATGACCCCCAACATTTACATAGAGTGGCTGCCACAGTTCCTCCTACATGAGAGGCTCTAAATGGAGCTATCAATAGAGGGTCCTACAAACCCTGATGGAAGACAGATCTGTCTGAGGACCCCCACTGCTACCTTTTTGTTCATTCCTTTCTTTCCTGGAGCTGGGAACTGTACTCAGGGCCTTGCTGGCTAGGCAATCACTCTACCACTTAGCTGAGCCTCTAGCCCTTCCCTCAATGGCTGTCTTCTCAGGGTTCATTTCTGACTCAGGAGTCACTTACTAAACCCGTTCATCACCAGTTCTTCTGGGAAATGTGAGGGACAAGGAATGGGGTGTGGACACTGGGCTTTAGTTGCCCCCACCTTCCTGATCCCTGCTTCCCGTTTCTCTTCTTTCTTCTTACTTATGAGAGCCCTCTTCTCTAGGAGATTAAATATCAGGAAAGCTCCAGAAAGTGTACTTATGGAGAGAGAGAGAGAGAGAGAGAGAGAGAGAGAGAGAGAGAGAGAGAGAGAGAGA